AGACAGCATCAACTGGTGCTTGGTGACACAGAGACAAAGTGAGTGGAACAGACAGAAGAAATGTTAGTACTTAGGGATCTGTGTAATAAATTTGTGAAATGCCCCCAGAGGTGAAGATTACAACCCATCCACACCTTTTCATCCCCTGTGCCAAGTTTTGTCTGTATCCTTCCATAAATCCAACAGAGGGTGATTACCCAGCATACTAGTGGCCTTCCTCTAAGTTTCTTGATATTATGTAAATACTAATGGCCCTTACAGGCTGTCTGCCCAGGAATCCTTCACTTTCCCTATGTGATAGGCCCACCTTATTCTGGTCATCTTTCACTCTCATGACATTCCTTCTATCACTTCTGCTCAGTTTTCCTTGATGATATGCTATGGCCTATGCTTTCCCATCATGTGCTCCTCCATCACACTTTAAAGAAAGTAAAGCTTTATTAATACCACCCCCCCAAAAAAAGAAGCTGTATAGAGTAAGATTAGAAAGGTGAGAGGAGAAGAAAAGGGAGGGAATTTTAGAGGGATGGATAAAATAAGGAATAAACAGGGTAAGGGGAAAAGATAAGGTAACAGGGATAAGGCAAAAAGAAAGGCTGAGAAGGAAAATAGTGAGTAAAAATAAGACAGAGGAAAATTCACAAAGAGCAATTAGAATTTTGTCAAATCTATAAGATTATGAGTCATTCCCCAATTGATAAATGATCAAAGGAAATGAACAGGCAGTTTTCCAATGAAGAAATCAAAACAATTTATAGTTACATAAAAATACTCTAAATTATTATTGATTACAGAAATGCAGATTAAAACAACCTTGAGATATCATTTTACACCTACCAAATTGGTTAAAATGATGGAAGGGGAAAGTGACAAATGGAGAGGATATGGAAAAATTGGGGCACTAATTCACTGTTTCTGGAACTGTAAAATGATCCAACCATTTTGGAGAGTAATTTGGAATTATGCCCAAGGAATTATTAAACTACCTATACCCTTTGACCTGGCAGTACCTCTACTGGGTCTGTTTCCAACGATAATTAGGGGGAAAGGAGAAAAAAAAAACCTGTATGTTCTAAAATGTTTATGGCAGCTCTCTTTGTGGTGTCAAAGAACTGGAAATTGCAGGGATGCCCATCAACTGGGGAATGGCTGAACAAGTTGTGGTATATAATTGTGATGAAATACTACTGTGCTGTAAGAAAAGATGAGCTCAATGATTTTAGAAAAAGATGGAAAGACTTGCACAAAATAATGAAGAACGAAATGAACAGAACCAAAAGAATATTGTACACAGTTAAAACAATATTGTTGGGTTTTCTTTCAAATTTTTAGGCAGTTGGGGTTAAATGACTTGCCTACAGTCACACTGCTACTAAGTGTCAAGTGTTTGGTTTGAGGCTGGATTAAAACTCAGGTCCCCCTGACTCCAGGGCCAGTGCTCTATTCACTGCACCATCTAGCTTCCCCTAAAGCAATATTGTTCTAACAATGACTTCGAGCAAATAAATTGTTTCAACTGTTGTAAATACCTAAATTAACTATAAAGAACATATGAAGAAAAATGACACCTGCCTCCAGAGAAAGAACTGACAAAAAGAATTATGTATGGAATAATTTTGTACACACACACACAAATGTATATTTGTGTCTAATGGTAGCCATCTCAAGGATGGGGGAGAGAAAAAAAGGAAAGAAATTTACATGATAATTTTGTTGTATATTTGAAAAGAATAGCAAATTGTGCATAGAAGATTTGCAGTTTCATGTGCAATTGTCTTTTTTATTGTACTGTTTTATGGAAATGCTTGTTTTATTCCATAAATTAAATAAAATTTAAAAAGTAACTTAAAAAAGTATTTAAATGCTATGCTGTTTGTGCATTTATATTAAGTAGTGATTTTAATTCATTATTTCATCATTCAAAATGCCATTAAGCAAAATGTAGTTCCTTAATTCATCTATTTTTACATGTATGCTTTTGCTACAGTTATGTATGAAATCATAACTGCAACCCTTGTTTTTTTTAGTTCACTTGAAGCATAATAGATTCTGCTTTAAACCTCTCATTTTAATTCTATGTGAATCCTTATGCTTCAACTGTGTTTCTTATGAAAAACACATTCCTGAATTCTTTTAACTAATTCTTTTAACTAATCTATTATGATGTCCTCTCCTGTTTTATGGATGAGTTTATCCTATTCACATTCATGGTTATGACTGTTAATTATATATTTACCTCCAACCTGTTGTCTTCTACTTTTTCCGTTCTTTGCCTCCTTCCCTTTCCTTTTATGGTAAGAGAATTGTTTGCCTAACATTTGTTAACTTTAAGTGTCACAATCTGTTTCCATTCCCTTGCTCTTTTCCTCTTCCTTTTGCCTTGCCTTTGATTATATTTTCTATTATATGTTCTTTCTTACATTTTGACATGCCCTTCACACTCACTCCTCACACCTGGAAGTATGTCTGATGAATATACATTCACCTAACTATTTGCCTATCCTGCCAAAACCCCCTCTTCCTTTTCCCTACCCATTCCTATTTATCTATTAAGTTTAATGTATTTCTATACATTGTTCTCCATACATGTTTGTGTATGTACACTATGTGCACTGGTGGATATTAATTTATAAGTGTTCCACCTTCCTTTTTTCTGGTTCATATCGAAATAAGGCTCATGGCATACCTATTCCTCTTACCCATTCTTTACATTTTCATACCCTTCATCTCATGCATGCATGATTATTATGTGAGACAGTAGGATTCCTCCTTTTCCCCCTGAATAGTCTCCTATCTCTTCAAATTACAAACAATTCTCTCTTTACATAAATTCACATTGTGCAAATTCAATTTTAGGTGAAGAATTTTTTTTTTAATTTTTTTTTTAGGTGAAGAATTCTGAAAGAAATCCACATTAAAAAAAAAAACCCTATGTTAACTTTACCCGTATAGTACTGTGCTCTTCCCCTCTCTATCTCTCTCTTTGCTCCTGCCCCTCAACTTGGAGCTCTGTTGGCTTCCCACCAAACAAACAAAAAAAACTGTTAAAATATCCTTTAAAAACCCTTTCAAGTAAAAGCAGAATGGACATGAAGAGATGGCCACTGCCACCACAGCCATAAGGGGTGTGATTTGAGACCTCCAGCACCAAGAGAGGAAACCTTTGGCCACCCACCCATGTGGCCAGTCTTGCTTGTCTGTCTTCCATCTGTCCACACTTGAATATCATGTATCTGTTCCCAGTTCCTAATACCCCACGTCTGCCCCTCATGTTCTTCTTCTCGGTTCCAGTCAGGCCCCCACATGGCTGGCCCTGGTCCCCTGCATGTGCTTCTTCCTACTGTCACTTCTCTGTTTCTGGCCCCTCACATGTTCCTGAACTCTGTGCAGACACCCCCTACCCCCCAACCCCCTACCCCACCCCACCCCTGGGTGTGAGACCCTTTCTTCTTTTCTTGCCTCTGTTCCCTACTTTCCTGGGCAAATTAACATTACATAAAAATAGCTTTACATAGGGATCTGCAGAATGACCCACTTATGTAAAGTGACAACTCTTTGTATTCCTAGGACCACCAAAAACAACAACATAACTCCTAGGTCCTCTGCCTTTCTTATTTAAATTTATCAACCCCCTGACACTTTTAAGGGTCTGAGAGGATACTTGTTTCCTCCCCCAGTCCTATTTCATTGATCAAATTTGTGTACCTTTCTATGTTTCTTTTGTTTAATATGTTTCCATTTCAAAGTATCTACCCAGTCCTGGAATTCACCAGGAGTGACTGGAAATACTCTATTTCATTAAAGATCCATTTTTTCCTCTTTAGGATTATACTTAATTTTGTTAATAGCTTATTCTTGGTTGTAAGCCTTTATCTTTGGCCTTCTGGGATATCATATTTGAAATTCTCCTCTCCTTTAAACTGGAAGCTGTCAAGTCTTATGTGATCTTAACTGGCTCCTTTGTACTTGAACTCTTTCTTTTTGACTGCTTGAAATACATATTTTTTCTTTAACCTGGAAGCTTCAGATTTTTGGCTATGATATTGCTGGGAGCTTTCATTCAGAAATTTCCTTTAAGAAGGTACCAGTGAATTCTTCCTATTTACACAATGTGCGCTTGTTCTAAGACATCTGGGCAGTTTTCATTTATAACTTCTTGAAAAATGGTATACAAAGTTATTATTAAGTTTTGTTCATGACTTTCAGATAGCCTAATGAATATTGGGTTATCTCTCCTGGACCTGTTTCCCAGGTTAATTGTTTTGTAATCTTATCTCCATTGCACACTTCCCGGAGATTCTGACAATTTTTTCTTTGTTCACTTTTTTTTGTTTTCTTTGCATACATTTTTTAACTGACTAGAGGAGGTTATAGCTAATTCTCTTTAGTTGTTTTAGGTTGTTTTTTTTTTTATCACTGTTATATCTAATGTACTTTTATTGCATCCCTGGGCTTCTCTAAGGCCTATCTCCATACCAAATTCATCTGCTTTAAATCTCATTGAAAAACATATTATTGTGACAAGACTTGGAAAAAATGAATTGTTTGTTAATGGTACATTTAATAAAGGTATAGTTTCGCAATGAATGATTTTCTTAAGAACTCAATGCCAAACCATGTAAAATAAGTGACTGAAGCAAAATGAAGATACATTATATATTAAATTAATTATTCATACATTTAATTATTTATGAATAAAATTTTTTAAGTTTTCTGTCAACAGTTTATTTTACTTTGACTTGTTAATTTGTATATCTCTGTCCCACATTAGATTCTGGGGAAGATCAAATAAGGTAATATAGATATTAAATAATTTTGCAGCTTGAATAGCAAATCATGGTACGATTTCATCATTTTATAGATGAGGAAACAGGAGCACTGAAATGAAGTGCTATACAAATGGAAGGTACTACTACTACTACTACTACTACTACTACTACTACTACTACTACTACTACTACTACTTCACTATTCTCATAACTTCAAGATGTCTAAATTACCTGTCATTCAGGAGGTTGTCCTCAAATACTTGAATCAAAGTTTCACTAAAGCTGTCCATGGCTTGAATATCATTTTGAATTTTCTTCATGTACTCAAAAAGACTTTGTGTTGAGTACCTGACCTGTAACACACACAAAAAAAATATTCAATAAGGACACTTGGGGGACAGAATCCATCTCTGGCAGATAAAGATATAAGAGGAAAATTAACCACAAATGTATACTCTTAACAACCATGACTGAGACAAGGATATACCGCAGAGAACTTCAGCTTAATCCTTATAATGCACAGTCAATGTTAGAATTTAATGAACTACACAGCCTGAATTTCATTTCTTATATATAACTGTGGCCTCTGTGCAGTTTGTTGTCTTAGTTCTATTTTGTTTTCTCTGTATGAACTCAAACAAATCTTCCCAAGTTTCTATGAATTCTCTATGATGAAATAATATTCCATTATATTCATATACTAGATTCTTCAATCATTTCTCAGTCAACAGACAATTACTTTATTTCCAGTATTTTTGTTATGACAACTACTTTCAATTCTGTGAGGCCTTTCTTTCTTTGACCTTTTCAGGTAATATGGCCAAGGTAAAGGGTAAAAGGATATGAACAATTTAGGCACTTATAATGATAAATTATTCATTTATAATAACTTATGATAATGTATAGTTATATTCATTATTTATAATAATTATAATTATAATTATTCCAAATTATTTCCCAGAGTGGTTAGATCAACTTATATTTCCACGAAGGGAATACTAGTCTTCTCACAATGACTATTTCAGTTTTTATTATCCTTAGAAAGGCAATGCTGCCTAATAGATAGAGAGCTGGACTTAGGTTCTAAAAGACCTGGGCTTCAGTCCTATCTCTGAAACATAATTGGTTCATTTCACCTTTCACTGCTCTAGAAGAGCTACTGATAGGTATCACAAATTCTCCATTGGGAGTTCCCCATACCAGTGAAGGCACAGATTTGGACTTTTTAAAAAATCACAACATTTACCAATTTATAGACCATATCTGAAAAAAAAGAAGACCCATTAAGCTACAAGTCTTTTAAAATAGCATAATTATTTAAAATGTACTACAGAGCTCTGAAATAAAGTAAGTCTCAAAAAGTCTTTGGGTTTACACAGGACCAAATAGTTATCTTTGGTCTAGTTTTACATTAGTCACAATCAAAATTCTCAAATAAGGTAGTCTTCATTTGTGGCTGTTTCATTTCTTCATCATTCATTTATACCTAAACCCATCTACAATATCCTAATAAGTGGACATCTAGCTTCCATTTGAAGACCTTTAGCAATGCAGAATTCATTATCCACCAAATACAAAATGTTTTAAAGGTTAATTATCATTGCATTATCATCACCATCATGCAACAAAGTAGTAAATCTATTCTGTATATGAATACCATGTTATTCAAATAATCAAATGGATTCACAGATCCAAATCAACTAACTGTTTACATATCTTGGGAAACCAAACCCTTATCAGAGAAATTTAATACAAAGATTTTTTTCTTCTCATTTGACTGCTTCCTTTCTTATCCTAGCTATATGAATTGTGTATGTGTGTGCATGTGTGTGTGTACATAGCTTTTCAGTTTCAAGTAATCAGGAATGTTTTTACTGATATTTTTGTTTCTGTATCACCTTAATTTTCAAAATATATTCTTCAAGGGAGATATCCAATGTTAACAATGGGGGAAAGACAGGAAAAAAGCTATTTTAGAAAAATCAACCAATATATGAAATGACTCTAACAATATATAAAATGTTCTTCAATCAGAGATCCATCTCTCCCTCTACCACATTCTCCTGCAATGATGAGAAAAAGGGGCATTTTTCTCATCTTTTTCCTTAGAATCAAGTTTGGTCACTATAATTACAAAGTGTTAAGTTTAGCTGACATTGTTCTTTTGTTATTTACATTGTTGGAGTCATTATTCATATTGTTTTCTTAGCTCTGTTTACTTCACTTTGCTTTAGTTCACATAAGTCTTCCATGTTTCTCAGTATTCATTATTTCCTATAGTGCAATGATTTGTCATTATATATTACAATTTGTTTGTGCAGCTAGGGGGTGCCAGGCCTAGAGTCAGGAAAACCCCACCTCCTGAGTTCAAATCTGGCCTCAGGCACTTACTAGCTATATGACCCTGGGCAAGTCACTTGACCCTGTTTGCCTCACTTCCTCATATATAAAATGAGCTAGAGGAGGAAAATGGCAAACCACTCCAGTATCTTTGCCAAGAAAACCCCAAATGAACTCTCAAAGAATTGGACATGACTAAAAAAATGACTGAACAACAACTACAACTACAACTACAACTTGTTTGGCCAATCAATAGGGTTATGCTTTCTTTTTAGTTCTTTGCTACTACAAAGAGTATTACAAATACTTTGATATACATGGAGAATTTAATTTAATCCCTTATTTCCCTGAAGTGTATGCCTAATAGAAGAGCTCTAGGTCAAAGAGTTTAAACATTTTAATGGCTTTCTTTGGTTTTTTGTTTGTTTGTTTTGTTCTTTTTTAGGCAATTGGGGTTAAGTGACTTGCCCAGGCCACACAGCTAGTAAGTGTCAAGTGTTTGGTCTGAGGCTGGATTTGAACTCAGGTCCTCCTGACTTCAGGGCCGGTGCTCTGTCCACTGCACCACCTAGCTGCCCCTAATGGCTTCCTTTGAATAACTGCAAATTGCTTTTCAGTACAGTTGGACTAATTCATGTTTATTTATGGGCCTGTTTTTCAACAGACCTTCCAACTTATGAAATATTTTAACAACTTATTGTGAAATATTCACAATATACTTAATCCTATTAAATGTAAAGCACCTAAAGCAACGGAATTTTTTTCAATTTGTTGTACAACTTCTTTTGGCAGGACAAATATATACAAAAGTTATTCAAAAACTAAGGTTACAAAGGAATTATCAATTCATCATCACATACATTTTATTGGTAACACAGTGTTTTGTAGTGTATTTAACAAAGGAAAGTATTATCAGTTGCAACATTGTGATTTTGTGCCCTCAGTTTAAATGGTCCCCAAGTATACACCTTGTGACTATTTCTGAGTTGTTAAAGTGTAGCTGTGATTTGATAATTAAAAGCATATTCAAATTACAATGTATAATGTCCTGGGCATAATTAACACTCCAAAAAACCTTTATTATCACCAAATAGCACTTCTCACAAATGGGTGAAAAAATTCTTAATGAAATAAAACAGTGTACAGAAAAAGTGCATTAAAACACAAGTCTAAAAATCATCTAAATGATTTCTTTCAAAATAGAGACAGCAAGTAGGAAAAATTTTACACGATATCAGCAATATAAGAAAATAGTGATTAAAGATATTTTCTATATAATGAATATGTAAAGTAATTTTGAAAAAAGAGCATTGGCTTTAACATCAGATTACCTAGGATTGAGTTCAGGATCAATAATGTACTAGCTATAAAGAGGCCTAGCGGTTTGCGGGGTGCTGCTGGGAACCCCTGAGATTGCGATGCTGGGCCCTGCCTCAATGAATTCAACTCAAATAAAACATATAGGCCAGGTGACACTTGCAAGGACTAGCGGGCATGAGAGATTCTCAGCCTCTGAATGGTGACCATGATAGATCTTATAAAGTAACTTTGGGTGGCCAGAGGAGAGGGCTGGGAAAATGTTCTGGGTGAGAATTCTGACTGGAATGTCTAAAAGACTGAACAGACAATGGGAATAGATAATGAAGGAACTGAAAGGCATCTGAATGAGATCAAAAAGGTGGGGCTAGGGCTTTCAAAGTGAGATAAGGGGAATCAATAAGGAACCCTCTGAGACCAGAGTAAGGGCTTTCTGGGGCCTATAGGCAAAAGGCAGCCAGATTCTTTTTAGGGTGAGGGGCAATGGCACATCTGAATAAGATTAAAAGGTAAGGCTAAGGCTTTCAAAGTGAGATGAGGGGCTGGGGTCTGTAGACAAATGGGAGTCAGATTTCCTTTGGGGCAAGGTGCTAAGATCTCAGCTTGCGCCCACACCCCCATCATCTATGTTGGGCAATTCACAAGCTCTCTTAAGAGAGACTCTGATTCTTAACCTTTTAAAATAAGTATAATATTCATACAACTATATCACTGGGGTTTTGTAACACTCAAATAAGTTGATGGATTGTAAAAACACCCTGAAAATATAAAGTATTACGCAAAGACAGTTATTAATTTCCCAATCCTTTTATTCTATTATTTTCTTAATACAATTTTTAAAACTCTGTTAACTGCTTTAAAAGTAAGTAATCCTAAGTAATCCTCTCAGCCCCAGGTAACTAAAATAAAATAAAATAAATAAAATAAAATAAAACCTGGCAAACTTTGGGTGCTTTCACTTAATAAAAGTATACTATTTATAGAAACAAAAAAAAATAGCATTCCTATTTCAAAAGTAAATTCTATTCTCATAATCTTAACATTTGAGCTACTATCTATATCATGGGAGAAAATCTTTTGAAAACAATCTAGATTTCACAGTCATAGGAGTTAGAGTTGAAATGATCTAAAATATCATTTAGTCCAACTTTTATTTTCAAAAAAAGCAACTTGAAGCCCACAAAAACTGAATTTATCTGTGGTCACAAGGTAGCGAATAGAATTGGGATTCTAAACCATGTCCTCTGATTCCAGATCCCAGGAAGCTAAATTCATAATTTCAAGCTAAAGAACAAGACTTGAAACAGCACAGATAAGCAGTATTTTATATTCACTGACTGTATTAAAAGTGATTTCATTCTAAGATTGCTTGGAGAATGTAAATAAACATACTCTAAACACAGTACAATTTTTTTTAATATATAAGAAGGAAAAGTAATGTTAGAAATGAAATAAATGCCACTGATTTTTAAGTGAAAATGAAAACTGTTTAAATATTCGGGTGTTTGTAATAGCAAGAGCAGTGAAATAAATGGGTAAGCAAAGTCATAAAAGATACTTGTGCAAACATCACTAAGGAAAAGAAAAACTGAGAACATATATGATACTTTGTAAAAGTCAATTTTTAAACCCAGAGGTATTCCCAAGTCTGTCTGTATATAATATACTTCACTGTCATCTTGAAGAAAATAATTTCATCAAGTTTCAATCATATTGCTCTCATATTGTACAAGATTTTCCATTGTCAACCTATTTAACAACAAAGATGACAATATAATCTTGTGGTCATGGGAAAAAGAACTAAATCCTTGATCTTGTGTGGAAATGCACAGAATGACACAAAACCATTCTAACTCAGTTAAAAGCTTTTTAAAAAGAAAGAAACCAGCAAAAGACAATAAAAAGATCCATAGCTGTGATGATCTTTCTATCCTACAATCATTATCCTCCGACACTGCTGCAATTTACTAAGAAAAGTTTCGTAGGATTCTAAAAGTGGAAGAGACCTTGATGGTAAATTTATTCCAATCTCTATATTTTACAGATGAGTAAATTGTTGTCCAGCAATGTGACTGTATCACCATACCAAAGATCTTCCTTAAATCCACTGTGGTGAAAGACAAGTACTGGTCAAGTACTTTCAAGACTTTTAAGACCTTAGAGAACAGAAGTAATCACAATGATTCACACATAAAGCACCCTGAGTTTCACAAAGTACCCAACCAACCCACATGACAAGCCTAGAAAGCAGGCAAAGCAACTTTTTCCCCCCAAATGGAGTATCACAGCTCCTTACACAACTCAAAGCTTTAAAAGAACTAAAACACAAGATGTTTTCTTACCGTTGACTCTGTTAAGCCACCAACAGAGACTGCCAAACCTAATAGGACATGGTATCGATAGGCTGGCAGTGCAAGGAGCTGAGTAATGCAAGGGAATGCCTGTGAAGGGGCATTCCAATTTAAAACAGAAGATTCTGATCTGTAAAAAGAAGTAAATACCATATATTATGAAATTTTCTTTTTTTCTTTTTTTACCGTCCATTCAATGAAAAGAATAAGCACAGCAATTAAGAGTATGCTGGAATAAAAGTCGGATGAAAATATACAAAATTTCTCATACCTTGGAAATATCTTTTCTAATTCTTCTCTATAAGGAAGGTGGGGAACTGGAGGACTGTCAAAGTACAAAAGATTCAAGAAAATGGATCCAGCATGAGCTCGAAATCTGTCAATTTTCTCACTTGATTGTTGGGCTAGACAGCACATGATCTGTTTACAGCTGCAAAATAACAAGAGCCACTGGTTAGTCCATTGCTATCAGCATCATGACGAATACACTAGCATTTTAAGGTAAAAAGCTTATATAGCAAAACTCAGATATTTAGCTATTGTCCTAATGCCGAAGTTCTCAAACTTTTTTGTCTCCTGATTGTTTCACACTTTAAAATTAATGAGGCTGGCAGCCCAAAGAGCTTCTCTTTATGTGAATTACACCTGTTGCAGTTTCATGGTGTGTTGTGGTGGCACTGTCTCAAAGAATCCAGAATCAGATCACCTCTAATCCAAGTACAGGCACTTATTAAGGACTGATGCCCCTCAGAAGTGGGTTATGGTTCCAAGAGGAACCAGCAACTTAGTAAGACAACACAAATTTATAGTGTAATGATGCTGATTACACAACAGAAATCACAAAAATTAAAAAGTCAGGAGGGATTTGCTAAGAGATTAGGTAATGGGGAGGGGTCCCTTCTATGGTTCTGTAGTCAAACATCCTGGTCATGCCTGCCCTCCGATTGGCTAGCTATTGTGGTCCTGTCCTATCAAGATAGATAGTCAGATATTATAGCCCTGTCTTAGGCTAGATGGATGATGTGATTATGGTTGAGTACAAGAACACACCTGTTCAAATATGTGAACTGGATCTGGGGGCAGTGGCTAGCTAGGACCAGTGGCTGTGTTGAGTCTGGGAGCCCGTGGTGTGGTTAAAGCCAGATTGTGTGTTTAAATCAGGACATGCCTGCTGTTCAGTGGGGCCCATAAGGAAGTTACAATATTGGGGCTGGGGGCAGCTTTATTAGGATTTCATCACATCTATTGATATTTACTATATTGGAAATTAAAATATTAGAATTATTATGAAAGGGTCTTGAGGACTCCCATAGGTCTAAAGACTATATTTTGAAACTTGTTGTTCTAAGATACATTAAAAGGTCTCTAATTCATCCTAACCATAGGTGGAGGATGGAGTATAGAAAGACATTTCAATAAGTAAAACAGTTTACAGAAAAATAATTATTATTTTGGAGATTATACATAGTAATTATTTTTTTTTAAATATGGAGCTGATGGTGCCCTCTGAGACTCAAAAGACTTACTCTTGACAGGCTTTCTTTGCCCTGGACACCAAGCATACACTCTCTTCCTGCTTAACACCCTGTCTTGTCATTTTCTGGAAACTTCCATACACCATGCTTTTACTCCATATTTTCAACCTAGTAATCTCTCTTTTTTGATATCAGAGGAGTCAGCCAGACCACCAGAATGAGAACCTACCCTGTTCATACAAAAGTAAAGAACTCCAACTGTTTCAATGGGCTGACCTTGTGTTAACATGATCAGAGCTGAAACATTCAAAGTACCAACTAGGAGGGTGAAACTGGATATGCTAAGTGGTGTTTCTAAATAACATCATCACCCTCTTCTTATCTTGCTGTGACCTAAAAACCACTGAACCCAAGGCTATAAGAACTAAGACTTAATTGTCTTAGTCACTCCTTCTGGTGAAAGAGACCTAGTTATGTCCTTAGCTACAAAGTCTTCTACCCTCACTTCAACTATTATTCTATTCTCCTGATCCCAAGAGTTTTGTTTAAGGCCTTGAACTTTTCCATGCATAACTTGCACTGCACTATAATAAAATGATTTATGTATTTCTGGACTATTTGGCTCTTTAGTGTATTACCCTCTAACAACAATAAATGTTAAGAACTGGGACATCTTATACTACAAAATGATTGGACTACATGATTTTTGCAGGTCTTTCAAACTTTAGATCTATGATCCTGCATAAATAATATTTTCTTCTTGTTCAGTTGTTTCAGTCGTGTCCAACTCTTTGTGAACCCGTTTGGGGTTTTCTTGGCAAAGATACTGGAGTGCTTTGCCATTTCCTTCTCCATCTCATTTTTCAAATGAGGAAACTAAGACAAAAAGGGTTCAGTGACTTGTCCAGGGACCTATCCAGTAAGTAAGTGAAGCTGGATCTGGACTCAGGAAAAATAAGTCTTTCAGACTTCAGGCCCAGTATTCTACCCACTGAACTATCTAATTGTCCTACAAAAAATATACACATGTATATTAATAAATAAAATAAGGTAATTTGAAATAGAAAACAAATTCAATATTCTCTTTTCTTCCTAATTTTACCCCTCTCTCCCATCTACATGGGTTTCATTTTTTACTTCACTCCAAAGATCAAAATCACCTCCTGGGAACTCTCAAAATGTCCTTAATTCTACAATTAAATTCCCTGCAGTTTCAAAGAAAGACAATTCTCGTTTCAAAAAGCAAATTGCTTTAGTGATGCTTTCAGGCAAATCTGAGAAGACTTCTTTTTTTTTTTTAAAGGCAATTGGGGTTAAGTGACTTGCCCAGGGTCGAGAAGACTTCTAACAAGTGAAACAAAGTGAAGTGGACATAAACAGGAAAACAATTTATACAATAACAATGCTATTGTGAAGAAAAAATAAATTGGAAGGATTTAAGAATTCTGACACAGGGGAAAGTGAACAGAATCTTTTAATAAGACCTATTTTTTGCTTTTCCTTTGTCTGAGCTCAGGATTGCTACTGATGCTTTTTTTACTTCAGCTGAAGAATAATATATTCTACTCCAACCTTTTACTTTTACTTTACGTGTATCCCTCTGTTTCAAATGTGTTTCTTGTAAACAACATATTGTAGGATTATGGTTTTTAATCCATTCTGCTGTTTCCATTTTATGGGGGAATTCATCCCATTCACACTCACAGTTATGATTACTATCTGTGTCTCTCTCCATCCTATTCCCCCCTCCACCATTTATACTTTCCTTTCTCCTTTTCTCTCTTTCCTTCCTCACTAGAGTTTTGCTTTTGACCACCACCTCCCTCAATCTGCCCTCCCTTTTATCAGCCCCCTCCCTTTTCTTTACCTTTTCCCTTACTACTTCTTCCCTCCTTTCTACCCCTTTTCTTTTCTTTCCCCTTTCCCCTCCTACTGTCTGTATAGCAAGTTAAATTTCTATACCTGAATGTTATTCCCTCTTTGAGCCAAATCTGATGACAGTAAAGTTCAAACAATGCTCACCTGCCTCCCTTCTTTCCCTCTACTGTAACATGTCTTTGTGCCTCTTCATGTGATACAATTCACCCTTTTCTGTTTCCTCCTTTCCTCTTCTCCCATTACAGTTCCTTTTCATCACTTCATTAGGTTTTTTACACCACATCAAAGTCAACTTAAACCCACCCCCTCTGTCTATGTATATCCCTTCTAAATGTTGTAATAAAGATACAGTTCTCAAGAGTTATAAGTATCATCTTCCCATGTAGGGATGTAAACAGTTTGCCCTTATTGAATAACATATTTGTTCATTTTTTTTCTCTTTGTTGTTTACCTTTTTTATGCCTCTCTTGAGTATTGTATTTGAAGATCAAATTTTCCATTGAGCTATGGCCTTTTCATCAGGAAAGTCTGGAATTCCCTATTTCAGTGAATGTCCATCTCTTCTCCTAAAAGATTATCTCAATTTTGCTGGGTAGTTTATCCTTGGTTGTAATCCAAGCTCCTTTGCCTTCTGGAAAAGGGACCTTCCCACTAGTCCCCCTAGCCTCATAAGCTAAAAGACTGCTGTACCTAATCTTTCTGTTGACTCTACTACTTCAAGATTTTTCCTGGGGCAATATTCTCTGGATTTTTCAATGTTAATACGGGAGAGGAGAGCTACTTACTGCTTATTCTTCCATCTTGGCTCTCAGAAGTCAAAGCAGGTTGAAAGTGAACAGAACCAAGAGAGTACTGACAACAACATGTTAAAGACCAATAATTTTGAAAGAATTAGGACCTCTGATTAAGTTTAATGACCATCCACGATTCCACAGGACTTGGATGAGACATGTTACCAACCCCCTGAGAGAGAGGTGAAGGATTCAAAACAATAAATAAAATACACGTGGTCATTTGTTTAGCTATACTACATGTTTGTAACAGAAGTTTTGCCTTTATTTCATTTTCAATTGGAGGTTGATGGTTAAGGTGGGAGGGAAAGAAGGCAGATTTTTGCTGATTGAAAAAATATATAATTCTAAAAGAAAAATATGTTTAATTTATTATATATTATGTGTATATACTTTTTTAAAAATGAACTTTACATTATAGAACCTTCTGTTTTCTTTTTATTTCCTCAGAAAAAAATTTGTTTGTTCTATTTTGTATATGGGATATTTTTAGATGCTTTATAAATTCATAATCTTTTTTAAAAAATGAAACAAAAAACAGATACCTTTATTAGAGTTGTGGATCCTTTATCACTTTTTTTTTTACATGTAACAGTATTTTATTTTTTCCAATTACATGTAAAGACAGTTTTCAACATTCATTTTTTATAATATTTTGAGTTCTAAATTTTTTTCCCTCCTGCCCTCCCCCCAATCCACCAAAACAGCAAGTAATCTGATATAGGTTATACAAGTGCCATCGTGTTGAACATATTTCCACATTAGTTATGTTGTGAAAGAAGAAACAGAACAAAAGTGGAAAAATCAGAAGAAATCAAAACCAAATGAAAATTGTATGCTTCAATCTGGATTCATACTCCATAATTCTTTCTCTGGATGTGGATACCATTTTTCATCATGAGTCTTTTGGAATTGTCTCTGATCACTGTATTGCTGAGAAGAGCTAAGTCATTCATAGTTGATCATCACAGAATGTTCTCCTGGTTCTGCTTACTTCATTTTGCATCAGTTCATTATAAGTCTTTCCAGGTTTTTTTGAAATCCTCCTGCTCATCTTATAGTACAATAGTCTTCCATTATTTTCATATACCACAACTTGTTCAGCCATTCCCCAACTGATGGGCACCCTCTCAATTTCCAATTCTTTGCCACCACAAAAAGAGTTGCTCTAAATATTTGTGTACAAGGAGGACCTCTTCCCCTTTTTATGATCTCTTTGGGATACAGAATTAGTAGTGTAATTGATGGATCAAAGGACATGCACAATTTGATTGCCTTTTGGGCAC